TGTGTGTGTGTGTGTGTGTGTGTGTGTGTGTGTGTGTGTTGACAACCATGGCTGCAGTGCCGGCTCGCCTCAGCCCAGCTGTAATAGCCTAACAAAGTGTTGAGAGAAATCTGATTAGCAGTCCGTCAGTTCTTTCTGCTTCCTTTCTTCGTGCTTGGTTTTCTCATCTTTCCGTCTTTTTTCCCGGTTCAGTCCCTCTTTATGCTCTACACCTCGTGTCCTGCCCAGATCCTTCCTTCTTCACACCTTCTGAAGGTTTGTCTGAAGTGACAATGGTACAGAGCTTTTTACTTTATATGAAAAAAACAGAATAAAGCTTCAGCTCACAGCTGTATTGAGCTGATCTTATTTTTGCCCACTGTCAGAAAGGCAATGGCGGATGATAATGTTTGTACCTCTGTCTGTGTCTGTGCATGTGTCTGTCTGTTAGCAACATATTTCAGGAACCACTGCACAGATTTTAGGGAAACTTGCAGACAGTAATCACTGAACGAACATCTGGAATTGATTGCATGAATGATTATGAAGCATTCACACTATTGAGATACATTTTTCTTCTGTATGTTTTACAGCATCTTTCTCGTTCCACAGTTTTCAAGCTATTTCAACAAATGATTTATCACAACTTTCAGCTCGTTCAGAAGGGTGCTATGACTTTTGGTATTGGTGCAACTTTAGCTTTTTGAAATATTTAGCCTTTTCTGTCATTTTTTTCCTCATAGAAAATGAATTGAGCTCATTTTACATCCTTCAGATCTTTAGATCTGTTTACAACCTTTTACTGTTCCTTTCACATTTTGTTCTGCTTCAGCTTCTTTCAGCTTCCTTGTACAAATTTAAACAGTTTTTCAGCTAATTTCAGCTGTTTTTTTCAGCTTTTTATGACCCTTTTACATTCTTTCTGCTAACTACAACATTTGTATGCTTCTTCTGATTTTTTTCTGCTAATTTAAGCTTATTTATGCAAGTTTCATCCTTTTCTTCTATCTCAGCTACTATTTAGCTGTTTCAAGCTAATTTGAGCTTTTTTTGGCTAATTCTACATTTTTTGCACTCATTTCAACTTTTTTCAGTCTAATTCAGCAAAACGTGCTCTCTCCACTTCCTTCTGGTAATTTAAGCTTCCTTACGATGTTTTAGCTACTTTTCAGCTTTTTGTGTGTGTGTGTGTGCTCATTTCTGCTTCTTTCAGCCTAACTGGCCAAGCAAGTGTTATTTCTGCTTTCTTCTGTTAGTTTAAGTTTGTTCTACATTTTCAGCTATATTTTTAGCTAATTTCAGCTGTTTTCAGTAAATTCAAGTTTTTCATGGTAATTTCTGCTGCTTTCAGCCCAATTAACTTTTTCTGCTAATTTAAGCTTGTTATGCTACTTTCACATTATTTCTGCCACTTTCAACCTTTCTGCTGTTTCAGCTACTATTAAGCTGTTTTTATGCTAATTTAATCTTTTTCAGCTAATTCCACATTTTTTGGGCTCATTTCAGCTCTTTTTGCTTCCTTCTGGTAGTTTAAGCTTCTTTATGCCTTTTCAGCTACTTTTTGCTCATTTGAGCTTATTTTTAAAGCAAATTTCCTCTTTTTTGTGCTCATTTCTGCTTATTTAAACCTAGTTCAGCAAATATGTGTTATTTCTGCTTTATTCTACTAACTTAGGCTTGTTCTTCCATTTCAGCTACATTTCAGCATGGTTTTTTTTAGCAAAGTTCTTCTGCAATAAGCATTAACCCTGTGTTTTTGCAGGAAATGCAATTTCTCTAGTTAACTGTTGGAGTTAACCCAATTCAAGATGTTCTGCAGCAGCCAGATAAACTTCTAAAACATGACAAAGGCTGTAACGCAGTCAACTTTACTGATATGAACCTAAGATTTGGTGAGATTGATCCCCAGATCATATTCTGAGCTTTAACAGACTGCAAAGATTTATGCCTTTAACTATTTGGAGTCTGTTGGCAACATCTCTTGAAACTGGCTAGATGTTCTTTTATTGCCTTTCAGGAAATAATGTTTGGAAGCACCGCTCCAACAGATGAACTTTGGAGCCAAATAATTTAGAAATGATTGCCACAGCCAACTGACCTTCAGAAATTAAACAGTGGCTTTAACTCAGTCAGTTTTATAGATGTGTTAAATTTGGTGTGGTTGTACCTGAGAGTCATTAACACACACACTCTGAGAGTGAGAGTTTGTATATAGTGCAACAGACATAATGTTAGTGTCACGTTTTGACCAAAATGGCTACAACCCCTCCCTTCTCAACATAAAATAAATACAACTAGTTTAAAACTGGTATTGAAGCCATGAAGGGACCTGAAATCCTTCAAGGAATTCTAAGCCTTTAATTTCAGTAAGTGGATTTATATTTAAACAGAGGATTTGTCAGTTTCTAAGTTGTATTTAAAAGTGAATGTACAGTTCTAGTTGATCCTGTACGATGCAGCTCAAAGATTCATGACTGTCCGTTGTGTGTTCAGCTGGTTGTTCTGTGGCTGGAGCATGACTGCCGTTACCAGTACACCGAGGACCTCCTGCAGCACGTCCGCTACGGCCTGATGGACGTCCCCACCTTACACCACCTAGCCCATAGCCATCCTCTGGTCCAGTCCAGTCCCATTGCTGCGGCCCTGGTGGACGAAGCCCTGGACTACCACCACGCCACCTTCGCTCAGCCCCTCCACCAGTCAGCCATCACCGGGCCCCGCTTCCAGTCCCTCACACTCTACATCATCGGAGGGCGAAAGCGGGAGGTGAGCCGGGTCAGGGAGCTGAGGTACTTCAACCCTTCTGCACAGGAGCATGTGCGCGTGGCGGGGGGGTCGAACTGGAGCGAGCTGGCAGCCATGCCCACCGGGCGCAGCCATCACTGTGTGGCTGTGATGGGGAATTTCTTGTTTGTGGTAGGGGGGG